TCAGAATAATCATGTCTGAAATAAAACAAGAGAGTGCAAACAACTCTGCTCTATGTTAGGCAAATTATTAATCTGCACAGTAGGTTCTGCTGCATCAGAATAATTCATGGGGGCTGCTCTGGCTCCATGTAAGAGAGAGAGAGAGAGAGAGGAGAGAGAGAGAACATTTAAGATCTAGGGCATGGCCAAACTTGGCCTTCCAGATGTTTTTGGGACTACAACTCCCATCAACACTAGCTAACAGGACCAGTTTTGGGAATTGTAGTCCCAAAACATCTGGAGGGCCAAGTTTGGCCATGCCTGCTAGGCGTTCTGTTGATCCTGATCTCACATCACCAAAGCAGAAATGTAGGAGCTTTTTATGCATCTGCAGAAAATGAACTAATCATTTCTTGTCATCTAACGTCCTGAGTGGCTCTAAAATTAAGAGGAAATGAAAAAAGGAAAGCCAAAGCCCATTGCCTTTGCTAAACTGTGGAACAGTGTTTCTGTGTACTGATTAGCTTGACTCTGTTGGGTTTCACAGCTGGCACTAGCAACTAGGAGTGCATTTAGGTTGCTGCAGTGAGGGCATAAAAAGAGTATGCAGCCTCCAAAGAGTATAAATCCTTGTGAATTGCTAGTTCACAGCTTTTATGAAATGTTCCTCCATCTCCCTTCCCTTCTTTTCATTAGTTGGCATCAGGGTGGGCAGGTCTCTGTGCAATTCCTGACTGAGTCACCAGAAAATATTGTCACAAACATGTATCAAATTGATTTCAAGCTCTGACATGCGCCCAGCCTCAGCCAGAGATACAATCTATAATCACATTTTACATGCGCAAATGGCAAAATATTAAAATTCATGACAAATGTGTTGTTTGTTTTTCATCTCGCATACTAGTGTATCCTAACAGCATTGTCCTTTCTGACCACTATTATAAGTTTCAATTAAGTGTGTTTTAAATCCAAGGCTAAGTAGGATTTTGAAGTAAAAATGTTACCTTATTAATTTTCCAAAAAATACACGATGATAATTATCCTTTTGATCACAGAATACACAACCTCAAGTAAGCTAGATGGAAAATGTAGTGTTTTAATTAAGATTTGTTGGAAACAAAAAACAAAGATGCTAAGACACAGGAGAGAAAGGAATCTTTATTAGATGGGTACTATACATTCTACCACTTGCCATTTCTCCTTGTTTGCACTTCAAATGTAGCCGATTTTATCTGCATTGCTCATGCAGAGAAAATTTTCATTTTATAATGTGTTTCAACGAATCTATTAAAAATTCAATCAAAGGATTTGTTCTTTGGTTTGTATGTGTCACTCTTTCCTTTCAGGCAGAGATGCACTGTGACATTGGTTATCCAGCAGCAAATATTGATCTGTTTTTTCACAAGCCAAAGATAACTCTGTTGGAATCATAACTTGCTACAAAGGAACAGTTGACCCTACTGCTTTTTTGTGAGTCAATCCCAGCCTGTTTTGATTTTTATGAGACTACTTCTATAATTTGTTTTTACAGTGCTCTCCTGACCAACAAACGTAAGTCAATATATAGCATAATATTGTAACACAGTTGTTTGGCAACAGCGTTCCAGGAGGCAGTAAAATTCAACCAATACACTACAATAAAATAAATTAAAAATAAAAAGAAGCATAAATAACAGTTGCAAATCCACAAGAAATTATCTGAGGGAAATTTTACCTTTCCCCCAAATACTTGCCAGCACATTATAATCTTAACTGAGCTCATGAAAACCAAAATCAAGTAAGTTTGCCTAACCTCTCTAGAAACAAAGCTTCATAAACTGGTTCACTTTGTAGAAAGGCCCTCTATGCATGCTCTGAGACACACTACTCAAGGCGTCAACATATTAGAAAATAGGAGATGGCAATCCTTTTAACATCCCACACTCCTGGGTATATTTTTTCACATGACAAAAAATAAAACCTAGTACACGCAGAACGGTTTTATAGTTTCAATCCTCAGTATATAAAAACATCTTTGTTATATTATCACATGGGTTATCTTATGCTACTTATATTAGATATTATATTAGTCTTATTGCCGATTTTTGTTTCAGCTGGGTGGAGTAAAAATGCTATAAATCCAACATAAATAAGACAGTTCGTTTTTAGTAAACCACACAGTATATAGAGACACACCAAAAAAAGAGAGAGTACAAATTGGGTTCCAAAAGGGAACTATTCCACCCTCTGCTGAGCTTTCTCCAAACTACCCATCACAGCCCCATACAGAGTATTTTTCCTCCACAAATTTTGTCCTACCTGGCAAAACAACTCAGCTGTGACAGTTAAGACATTTCCCCCATGTATTTGAAACTGCCATCAGTCATTTGCAGAGCCCACCCACTCCTACTCACCTTCCAATCAGAACGCTGATTCTAAAGCCCCTCCCATTTCCTTGTTTGCCATTTAGAGATTGGTTGGTCCACAGCTTCTGTCACTTGTCCTAGGCCCTACCTTCTACAATTCCCAATAGCTGACAGCTAGCAATTCCAGCAGCAAACAGTCACCCAGTTTGGCAAGAACTGAGCAGTTTCCTTCCCAGGCAGAAAATAAGGAACAACTTGTGTGCACAATTGTTCAGCCTGCTAATCACTGGCCTAGCCTTGATAACAAGTGTACTGTGCTGATTTTTAAAATGAAATATTGTTTGAAAGACCTAGGCCAGAACTAGGTGTCTAGTTCACTCCTCTGGTTTGAGATTTGGTGTGAACTGACAAATGTATTTGCATGAGTGTTTCCTACTAACAAAGATTAAACTGCATCTAAATTTTTAGGGTGGGAAATTGATATCTGCAGTACTGGGTAAAGATTTGGTTTTCATTCTATCATTTGGGAATTGAAACTGTGGTGCTGTTTGCCTTTCTCCACCTGGATGGTCACAGCTGGAAAAGTTTGGGCCAGATGTTAGATCTGTACATGACATAACAAATATGAATCTAACCACATGTCAGTTACTAGAAACATGGGAACATGCATATCTAGTACAGTATGTGAAACGCCCTATCTAGGATTCCTTGTAGGCTTTTAGCTACTAGTCCAAGTCAGCCCTGTGATGGAAATCTCCTGATTAGCTTCACCTTGTTGCTTCTGAAATGATTAATATTGATGCTACAAAGATTATGCTGATATGATTGACTCTACCAGGATTAATGCTGCTGCTGATTAGCCTTTGTAGAGTGTTTTTTAAATAATTTTAGTGTGTTGTTATATGATATATATAACTTTGATCTTAGTTGAAAGACAGATTTAAAATAAAGAAATGTGAGGAGTAGCTGAGAAGCTGCATAACTAGCAACCAGATGCAATCATGCATCTGCCTTGACATTGTCCATTGTTTGCACTGATAAATATGTGTACACAACTTTCCCAGCAGTACTGTGATTTATTAATCTGAACGTCAAATCACAAACTAGAGAGGTTTTGTGATTCTGACAGCTCCATCTCATACTATCTGCTTTTCTACATTTAGGTTGACTTTCCTACCATGCTCCCACCAGAAGGTGGGATTGTTTGCTATGAAACACATATCACATTGACAAACATGTAAACAGAGATATTCTTTCAAAAGTATGAAAGCTATGGTGATTTTTTAAGGCAATGTTATGATAATCTGTCAAATTACCAGTGTGTGTGGATGCAGCCTTAATTTTAAGCATCCAGTATATAGCTCAGAAAATAAATCTAGAGGCCACAATTCAGCAGAAATTTGGGTTCACAAACATTTTGATTTCATATTTTTAGATATGTTGTAAGCTGCACAAAGTGGCTGGGGAAACCCAGCCAGATGGGTGGAGTATAAATAACAAAATAATTATTATTATTATTATTATTATTATTATTATTATTATTATTATCATTAAGAACATAAGAAGATCCCTGGTGGATCAAGCTGAGGGTCCATCTAGTATAATATTCTGTGCACAGTGGCCCATGGCAAGCCCATAAGTAGGGTGTGAGCGCTACAGAACTCTTAATTTGGCTTGCCAAATTAAGCATGACACTATATTGCATTAATGTGATTAATGTGTCTAGGTTTTGAGCCTTTGGGAGGCCTAACCCTTTCCCAATGAAGATCATCCCTCATCCCATCCTTTCCAGTGAAGTGGCTATTATTCATTGGAGGGAAATGCAATGCTATTGCCAATTCAGTGTAGCAAATAGCATTCTTCAGTACCTATAGAACAAACGAGATATTACACAGGAGATGCACAAATCGTTTCCCAACACTGGTGATTGCCAGCAGTAACAACCAGTGGCTTCGATTTGGAACAAATGGCCTTCCAAATGGCATTGGACTACTGTTCCCATGACCCTGACCGTTGGCATGCTGGCTGGGGCTAATGGGAATTGTGGTGTGACAACAGCTGGTGGGTCCCTGGCTTAGATAGAGATCATATATATTCATGTCGGATAGATTTTTCAAGAGCTTTTAGCCATGATAGCTAAATGGAACTTCTGTGTTCAAAGGCAATGTGTTTCTTAATATTAGGGGTTCCCCCCCCCACAAGCAAGGAGCTCACCCACCACTTGTCCCCCCCCCCATTTCTGAACTCTTGTCATGAATATATGCTGTTCTTCTTCACCCACCTAGAAAGATACTTTGCCCCGTTTCCACCCCCCTGCCCAAATTTCCCCGTTATGCCACTGATTATTTCCCATGCTCTGTGACGTTGTAAAATAAGAGGAAATCCAAATATACCAGAGATGTGGCAATCCCATGCACAGGGAAATTTCTCAGCTTCACGGAACTGCAAAACCATACATCACTTGACAGTGAGAAAAAAATAATGAGAACCACAGCAGTTAACTAACTCTTAGCCAACACCCAGCTTTCCGAGTTGTCACATCTGAGTTCCTCCATGGCTTGTGATTGTGGTTTCCTTCTTAATTTTGTGATTGGCTGAACCTCCTTGCAAGTGGGTAAAGGAGGGGGGTGTCGTAAGTGGTGAAAGCCTAGTGTGACAGCGAATGGCTTTGAAAAATACTTTGCAAGGGTCTAGTCTGAAGGAGAGAGTGAGGCTGGTCATGTGTCATGGAACTCCATCATAGTTTTACTTCGTAAATTCTGCAAGGACGAGATCTAATAAAGAGGAGCAAGTCACCTCTCTTTTCCAGCCCAATCTGCTACCAGAGGTATGTGGTTAATGCTTGATTATGATTAATGAACATTAGGCAGAATGGGTAAGACCTGCAATAAAGGGCTGCAATACACCGTGATCCTGCCGAGTGCTCTAGCCAGTGGGAATGGGGGAGAGATTCAAAATAGTTACCATAACCTATATAATTCACACTTTCCAAAATAATATGTGGACCAAAACATCCTTAAAAATTTGCACTTTTCTGAATTTTGCACTGCTGTTCTCCAGTCAAGCAACAGGTACAAAATGCATATACTAGGGTAAAGTGTGCATTAAAAAAATGAAGATATTGGTGAAAATAACATACAAAAATACAGTATATTACAGAGAATTGCCATGCAAAAATGTATATGTAATGCAAAATTGCATACAAATGCGTAAGTTAGGCTACATTCATGTTAAAATGCTGGTGAATTTTCATGCAGTCTTAAAAAAAAAATACAGACTGATGTGGAAATGTGGAGAATTGAACTTAAGATTGGACAAATGAGAAACCGCTAGATATTGAAATTGACAGATTTGTCCATCTCTACTAGCCAGCCATGTTTTATTTCAGGATATTCCATTCCATTCTGCCTCTCCCACCAAAGTTTTCTATTTCTTTCTCCCCCACCCCCTGCATTCCCTGGGTGCTGAACATGCTCAGTCCTCACTGTGATGTTTTTTTGGGGGGAGGCGGGTCCCCCTGGGTTTACATTTCCAAACAATTCCTACCCCCACTTCTGCAAACCTTGGGGTTTGCATGTTGATAGCTGTCTATTGTGTCCATTTTGGCTACATTCCTGTCATAATTCCACATCTGATCGCACTGTTAGGGTCGAAGCAGATGTGATACTTGTCACATAGCTTACCGCTGCAAAGTTAGCTTTTATTTAACAAATAGCTGGTATTAGGGCAGGGTGAGGTGTGTGTGTGTGTGTGTGTTTGTGTGTGCACCATGACCCAGACCAGGACTGTGAGTTGAGAGATGGGGGGGTGTAACTCTTTGCCGCTTCCACAGTCCTAATCAGAATCCTCCCCCCACCCCCAGCAGCTGCTATGCTGCAAATGAGAGCTTCCACTTGTTGCAGACGACAGGTGCAATGGCTCCTGATTCAGAGTGAGACTATGGCGGCGCAAGGGTTAAAACCTCACTCCCTGCACAGTCTCAATCTGACACCCACCACTACTGCCAGCTGAACCTAAAAGCTAAGCCAGCAGCTTGCCCTTGTGCTGCTGTTTTGTTAAATAAAATAAAGCAAGACAGCAGCACAAGGACAAGCTACTGGTTCAGCCCTTAGGGTATAGGCAGAATTATTTCAAGCCATGGGCAGGAAAATACACAGAAGAAAGTTAGGCAATGTAGAAGAGAATCCAGCTTCAAACCAGCGCCAAGTAACCTTAGCCCTGCAAAGCTTTTCAGCTGTACATGTGGGGGTAGTTTGGTCTGGGTCATAAATTGACCAAATGACTTTGTATTTGCAGTTAGGGCAAAGGGAAGGCAAATGGGCTGTTGAGACTTGGTCCCCAAACAAACATAATCAGTTCTTTGAAAGTCATTCTTATGAGTCTTCTCAAATTTCAAAGCACATTATACCTAAGGGAGGCAACTGCACCAGGATGTGGCATGGTGTGAAAGTAGGTCAGGGGTGGCTCACCTGTGGCTCTCCAGGTGTTGTTGAACCCCAGCTCCCATCAGATCCAGCCAACATAGCCAATGGTCAGGGATGGTGGGGTGTGTGGTGTAGTTCAGCAATATCTGGAAGGCACAGGTTAGCCACTGCTGCAGCAGAGTATCTGCCGTGTGGAAACTTCATTCTAACCCCCCACCCTGCCCTGCTGTCTTCTGCTGGTTTTGTTGTTGTTTTTTTAAATTTCTCTTTATTAATTTTCATACACACATATGTACAGAAAATAAATTCTTCACGGGGGAAAAACAATAATAAGAACAACATAACTTAATTATAAGAAAACAAAAACAAACAAACAAACAAACAAACATGTAAGTTATTGACTTCCCTCCACCTCAGTTTTGGGTTATGTAATACATTTTTCCCCGCAGTTTTTCTTTAAAACTTTTGTATGTCGAAGTGACCTTTGTACTGTGACCTTTGGATTTTTTAAATCTTCAATATAGGTTATGAATTTATTCCATTCTTTAATAAACTTTGTTTCTTTCTGGTATCTAATTTTTTGTGTTAATTTTGCCAATTTTGAATATTCAAATAATTTACTTTGCCAATCTCTTACTGTTGGGATATTGGTTGATTTCCAATTTTGGGCAATTAAAATTCTAGCAGCTGTTGTTGCGTACTGGAATAAGGTCTGGTCCTCTTTCTTAATTTCATTGCCGTCTTCTGCTGGTTTTGCACAGTATGAGAAGTTGGTTTTTTGTTGTTTTTCCCCCTTGTACAACAAACTGTTGCTCTTTCAATGGGAGAGCTGTTCAAAGCAGATGAGGGGATCACTGTCATGTTTATAGTTCATCCCTTCTTGTTGTTGTACTTTGAATGGCTTTTTTCAACTTGTTGAATTGTCTGGAATGATTCCTGCATTGCATGGGGGTTGGACTAGATTCCCCTTGGGGTACCTTCCTGTTCTATGATTCTAAGTGAGATGAAAGATGCCGCACACACAATGTCATTTTTACACTAGTGTGATATTCCCAATATTATGCATTACTGGAGTGGAAATAACAGTTTGTGTTGGATTAGAGCTCCTTCAAATGGCCCACATTCCTGCCTACATTCTCTTCACTCTTTATTTTTTTAAAAAGAAAAAAATATTGGGTGAGTGTGATGTTATTTTCCTGTGTGTTTTTATTTTTGTTGCTCTTCTAATTTAACTTCTTGAATCACCGGGTGGATCACTCTGTTACTTTTGTTCCATCTCTCCCCCCCCCCCTCCATCTCCATTATCTTCAATTGGTTCAATTTACAGTTCTGGGTTATTGCTATTTTTTGACAGAGTAAATTTAATCCTCTCCCAATTCAGACCATTTTCTCCTTGTGGCAATGGGGCCATCCCAGAAATTAGCTAGCTGACTTAAGAGGCAGCAGAGTGCCATCAAACACAGGAAGCTGTAGCCAAAGCCCCATGATCCACCTGGAACAAAAAGGTCTGACGCAGTGTCAACTGCATGAGATTCCCATTCAGGCATTAATTTTCTCTTACTACTTTCAAAAATGCAATCTCCGGTGTAGGTAATTGCTGAAAGATGGCCTCGGTAATGCCAAGAGCTTTGGCTGTACACTATTATTAGCTCCCATCAAATCTGCAGGGTACTAAGTTGTTACACCTGTTGTGATTATTGCTACTTCTCACCTTCCCCCTTCTGGGCTTTCTTGCAGTTTAAAATGCCACCCCCCTTGTAGTAACCCAACTTTGACTGTCAATGCAGGTCATTGTCTGTCAAGTCACCTGACTAGATGCCAAGAAATGAGCTCACAGATGGCTTTAAGTCAGGACTCCCCAGGCACATTTGGAAATTGGTTGAGGGAATTGTGAAATACAGTGGTACCTCTGGTTACATACGCTTCAGGTTATAGACTCCGCTAACGCAGAAATAGTACCTCGGGTTAAGAACTTTGCTTCAGGATGAGAACAGAAATCATGCTCCGGCAGCGCGGCAGCAGCAGGAGGCCCCATTAGCTAAAGTGGTGCTTCAGGTTAAGAACAGTTTCAGGTTAAGAATGGACCTCCGGAACGAATTAAGTACTTAACCCGAGGTACCACTGTACCTTTTTTGCAGAAGAAAATCAAGCAATACTCAGAACACCCACACACAGCCAAAGAAACAGACAAAACAGCTATTGGCCCCAACAATTAAAACACAGACAAAAGCAGACAGCACCCCCCCCCAAAAGGCACACCCATCAAATAACAAAAAAACCTATTTAATTTTAAAAATGGGATGGGCAGGTGCTAAGTGTGGGGGGGGTGCTTAAGGGCACTGTTGTTGTTGTTTGAATTTATATACTGCCCTCTACCTGAAGGTTCACACCACAAAATCAAAATATAAAACCACAAAATAAATAATGCACACAGGTGCCACATTGGGGACCCCAACCTTAAACGCTTGCCTCTTCCAGTCACTCAACAACAACACACACTTTTATTTAGCATTTTTTCAAAGCCATTTAGAATTTAAATTACTTTTAAAAATGATAAAAAATCAAAACAATAAAGGAAGAATTTTTAAAAACATTCCTTGTGATGTGGTGTATTTTTCAGAAGCACCCTGGCTTGGTCTTCTCTTCCCTAGCAATAGTTCACATAATTCCAGCAAAGGGAAGAAGGAAGCCTTTATTACTTCTGCTTTAATTGCCCATGAGTCCTGTAAACTTGCATTCTCATTATCATGATCCATTAGCCTGGGTGGATTAGAATGAATAAATAAGATGAATGTTGTTATTCTTCAGATGCGCATGTTGAGGCATTATTAAGAAGTGATATGACAGAGCCGTACAGCAGTGGTTCTCAAACATTTTTCTCTGAGCCACACTTCCAAAATAAAAATTTGCTCCCTCAACACCCAATTTTTTATTGATAAATGCATTGAAAAACAAAAAGAAACAACTCCTAGCAATGCTTGATTTATAACATAGAACACAGCTACTTTATAATATGATCAGGGGACAGCCAGAAAGTATAAAACAATTCAGCTACATAAGTACATGAATCATTTCCAAAATATAATTATAAACAAGCCTTTTACACACTATACGTGCTTTAAGTATTATACAAACTCAGTGAGAGGTGTGAGCTTGCTTTGCTGGGTAATCTCATTTATATTAGGTCTAATTTGAGAAAAATTCCTCTCCTCAATAACACAAAGAAGCCTTTCTCTTTTCTGATCTTGAAAATCCCTGTTCACAACAATATGTCATTAAGAACTGCAGAAGTAGCCAGTACTCTTGAAAAGAGGCATGGATACTGTTTCTGCTTGTATATCCAAAATGAGTTTAGTCACTAGAGCAGGTTTCCTCAACCTCGGCCCTCCAGATGTTTTTGGCC